GATAGTCCCGGAGAGAGACAATGGTGACTTAGGCCTAAGGTGACAGAGGTAGAGGGGGAGGGGACAGATACAAAAGTCATTTATGGTAAGAAATTGAAGGACTAGTATCTTGGCCCTTGGGCTTGAAGGAGAGAAATAGTTGGCACACTCTCAGATGTCTGCCACAAACCATTGGCTAGATGGGAGCTTACACCAAGACAGGGGGCTCTTTCCTTTGCTAACTCAATTATAGTTAAAATGTTGATATAAAAACAAAACCCTCAGCTAAAATACCGCACTTTTTTCACAAATTATCACATCCTGTGGTTTGACATCGTCCAGAGGCCAAGGAAAATATTTTAGTGTTTGGCTGGTTTCGCTGTTGTGAACTCCAGTACAGCTCCCCAGACAGGACCACTGAGACCAGCCCTGAAGCCTGGCTCAGCGTTGCCTTAGCGTTCCAGCAGAGTGGGAGCGCCCAGTTTTTTGAAGTTGTACTTCAGTGGAATGTCCACAGTTCACAGGTGCAGATCCTGGGGAGGAACTCTTTAATAGCAGTCCACAACCAGCGTTTGCATTTCTCTGCTAAAAACGCCTTTACTTTGACTCTCAGTATTTTTACTTTCTGTATCATGGCAACAGAGGTGGTTTTAGTGGTGGTGGTAGTGACCAGGGCAACAGTGATACTTTAGTGGCAATGGTGGTGGTGTTCATGGTGATGGTGGTGGTGACAGTGGTGGTGATGCTGGTGGTATTGCTCATGGTGATGGTAGCGGTGATGGAGGTAGTGATGTTGGTGGTGATGGTGGTGGGTTTCTCATGGCAGTGTGGTGGTGATGGTGGTGATGGTGTTGGTAACGGTAGTGGTTGTGGTAATACTGGTGTTGATGCTGGTGGTATTGTTCATGACGATACTGGTGGGTGATGGTGGTAGCAGTGGTGGTAATTGATGCTAATGATGGTGATGGTGGTAATGGTGCTGATGGTGGTGCAGTCTGTGGCAGTCATGGTGACAGCTGGTGTGATGGTAACTGTGATGAATGAGGCATCATACTCTCATCAGTCCAGAGGACCATCACTGGGCTCTGAGGAGTGTGGGTTGCATTGCCCATTGCCTAGGCCTGGGCTAGGGTCACGGTTGTGATGGAGTTTGCAGAGTGTTCTGACCACCTTGCTCAGCTCTGCCTTCAGGAAGCATGCTTTTTAATACAGGTGTGTAGCCATGTGCCCACTGTTGAGGGTGGAGGGAGGCACTCTGTTTTTAAAACAAAGCGAGATGCCTTGCTTTAGTTCATTTATCTTCTACTGGGAGATTTTTAATCACAAAACCCAGCTTCACTATTTAACCCAGAAATGGCTGTAACATTTATTATGTAAATTAAGAGATAGGACAAAACGTGCGCGCGCACATGCGTGTGTGTGTGTGTGTGTGTGTGTGTGTGTGTGTGTGCAGTCACATGGGTACCACGGTGCACATGTAGAGGTCAGAGGACAACCCTGGGTGTCTGTCCTCAGCTTCCACTTGTTTGAGAAGGGTCTGTTTGCCACTGCTGATGCCAGGAAGGTCAGGTTCAAGAAGGCCTGCTTGGGGAGGTGACATGTGAGCTAAGCTGAGACTTGTATGACAGGAGCCAGTTGTGTGTGGATCTGGGCAGAACATCATGAACCCAGGTATTACAGGAGAAGCAGGGTTTGAAAGAGAACAGGCACTGGTATGCTTAGGAGACAGAGGTGGCCAGCAGGCTGGAGCACAGGACAAGAACAGTGGTGGGAGCTGGGGTCAGGAAGGCTGGTAAGGCTCACACACTGTAATCAGTCCCAGACCACTGCAAGGATGCTCAATGCTACTCTTCGGTCAGTAGGGGTTTTCAACAGGATTATGACCAGATCTGTAGATACCAACTTCAAATGCACATTGCTGAAATGTCTTTCAAATAGACATAATTTTCTTTTGTATTTTGTAGACTAGACCAGAGGGCCGCCATTTGGCCAAAGGATGCTTTTGAAGCTCAGCAGGACTTAAATGAGGTAGGTGGAGTTATCATTTGTTAAATGAGCATGAATTAGCCCACTACAGACTTTACTATTCTTTTCTAAACACCAGAATTCTGCTTAAAACTTTAAATATGCTGGTTGTGGTGGTGCATGCCTCCAATCCCAGCACTCAGGAGGCAGAGGGAGGTGGATCTCTGTGAGTTCAATGCCAGCCTGGTCTACATAGTGAGTTCTAGGCCAGCTGGGGCTATAGGGAGACCCTGTCTCAAAAAGACCAAAAACAACTCCCCCCCAAAAAAAATTAAAATAAAAAAAAACCAGAAAAAACTTTGAGTACGTCTTTCTTAGGTGAGCTTCCTCGTGCTTGGCTTGTACTTCTGTGCTCCATTGCTAAAGCTGTTCCTTGCTCTGGAGTAAACACATTTAAAATGAATATTTTTGAGAAAGTTCACCACACCTTGGACCTAACCCAAATACAGCAGTCATTTCTTTGTATGCTTTTCAACTCTGTTTTAAGGTTATGTAACCAAAGCTGTGATAATTGACATTTGTAAAACTTTTTCTTAATTTATGCGAATTTCTCTTTTCTGTCTCCCACTGGCTTTTGCAATCCCAAACATAATCATTCTTACTGTTTATTTACTGAGCGTAACAGAGTTTGGTGTCTGCGGCATAGTTTTCTTCATATGCTTCGAGATAGAAAGCCATATTCTCCAATCCAAAGAACTTCCCACGAAACTGGACACCGTGACATTAGTTAGCTTGTTCTAAGTTTTCTTTGAAATATATAATTGAATTGTAATGCTGGGAATAATTATAATCAAAGCACATGATGTTATGAATGCCTTGGTTTAAGACGTTGGCTTGGAGTATTTGTCTGGTTTTTCTTGTCCTCATCAAATCACAGCAGTGGGTGGTGGGTGGTGTGTCCCATCAGAACCACAGCAAAGAAAATAGACTTGATACTCAGACGCCTAGAAAAGAAACAGTCAGCTTTGGGCAACTTGTTAATTTGGCATTTTGAATATGCATCCCTCTTCCGTTCCTCAGTCTCTGACCCCATAAAAGGCACTTAAATTTAGGTAACTTCCTCTTTACTTTCTTGATCTATGTTTTGGTAGAAGTTGGAAAAAATTGAATAGCTAAAGGTAAACCAGTTTAAATAGCTGAAGGTACAAAAAATGTCCTAAAAATAAGAACACAGAAAGCTGTTTGTTATTGTGTGTGTGTGTGTGTGTGTGTGTGTGTGTATGTGTGTATGTGGTGAGACACAGCCTTCAGATTCCACAGTGTTAGTCATGGTGGGAAGAGTTTAAAGAAAAGAGGAAAGGCTGCATCAGCACACGTATCAGGCAGCCCCTCTGGGAGTGATCAAGATGCCAGTCAGGAACAAGCACCGACTTGTCTAGACATGCGCGACTAGAGAAGTGAGGTGATTACAAGGACTGGCTTGTGACAGCTTTCAAGGGTTGGGAGCTCTGAGGTTTTTAGTTGGAAGCCCACGAGAATACTTAGATTGCTTGAGCATTTCCAAAACGCAGTTGTGAAAAGCTCTGTTTGAAAATCGGTTTTTCTGTGTTCCTTTGCTGTGTTGTGTTCGCAGTGTATGGGCTCTGAAGGACCGAGTGGAGCTCTGCTCACCTCCAGGTCAGCGTGGCCCTGTTGAATCTGTTGCTGAGACTCGGAGAATGTGTGCTCAGAGCAGTTTTGTTCTAGTCTGGGGGACAGACTGTATGTGCACATCCACATTCTTGTAGGTAGCTTCTGTTGTAACCCAAATTTGGGACACTGAAAGAGACCTTGGAGAAGCATGGAGTGGGCAGAAGTAAGGTGGGCACCTTGCTGGAAGGACAGTGTGGTCATGCTTATTGATGGAACATCCCAAATGGCAGACATCTAAATGTGTCTTTCCCTGTGTTTCTCAAACTTATGGAATACCAAAGTCTTTTTATGAAAGAACCATCTAAAATTTCTTTAAGTGATGTTCCTGTGGAAATCTGTATTAATATTTTTTTAAATTTTATTTATTATTTTTATTTTATGTGTATGTGTATATTGCCTGCATGTAGGTAAGCACACCCATGTTGTGCAATGGCCACAGAGGTCAGAAGAGGCTGTTGGATCCCCTGGGACTGGAGTTATGGACAGTTGTTAGCTGCCATGTGGGTGCTGGGATTCGAACCCAGGTCTTCTGCAAGAACAACTAGAGTTCTTAACCACTGAGCCATCTCCCCAGCCCCATGTATTGATATTTTTAATGAAAATAGAAGATACATATAGGAAAGTATTTTTAGGAATACTTAGGAAGTGTGTCACAACATAGCTTCTCTTCCACCAGTACCGAGTCCCAGTGTTTGATGTTGGGTCTCTGAGAGGACTCTGGCCTACCATTCGTGCTCTGCTGGTGTCTGGGACATATACTGGAGTGTCTATCATTCACCCAAACTGTCTATCTTTGCCCCTATAAGGTAGCTAAAGATTTTATTCAGGGGAGCCCTTCTGAATCCCAGTTGGAAAAAAATTCAGATGAGAAATCAATTTCTTATTCATTTTAATCCTTGGTGGAACAGAAATCAGTCTTTTAATATTTTGTTAAAAGCAGACCGGCAGTGCATTGCAGTGTCCTCTCTGTTCTCTGTGTCTGTGTCTGTCTGTGTCACTCTATGGACATTCAGAGTGTATTATAAAGATACTTCGGCATCAGGCCATACCAACCTCAAGGTGGTACAGTTATCTCTTGATGTCCTTGGGGGATTGGCTCTAAGACCCCCTGAAGATACAACAAAACTGTGGTTGTCCTGCCCCCTTTCATAGAACGGCGTGGTATTCACACATGGTGATCCATGTCTTCCTGTGTTTCCCATTCATTCTCTCTAGATTACTTGTAATAACTGATATAAAATGCATTATAACTAACAGGATGCAATGTTAATGTAATAAAAATTCTGCATGCATTAACGCTTTTTGTTATTATTATTATTATCATCATTATTATCATTATTATTATTTGAGACAGGATCTCCCCATAACTCCAGCTGGCCTGGAACTTGTTATGTTGACCAGGGTGGCCTTGATCTCACAGAGATCCACCTGCCTCTGCCTCCCGAGTGCTCTGATTAAAGGCATGTGCCCAGTGTTAAACACTTTTAAAAATAAATACATATTTTTGAACTGTAGTGAGTTGAATCCATGGATGCAAAAATCTACATTTGAAGGACTTTCTTTAATGTTTTGATTGAAATGTGTTTCTTCTTCAAAATTGCTTTAATTTTGCGAAAAGCGCCTATGAAAGCCTTCTTTGACACTCTGGTGTTGGCTGAATAGTATTATTTCTATAAGAACAGGCCGTATGGTTTTTCAATTTAAATGAAAACCCAGCCTATCAAATTGGGTCTCAGTTCAGGATGGATTGAGGAATTCTTTTAAGTATTTGAGATTCTTTCCATGTGACTGAAGGTCAGCTCACCCTGGCTTTAATAACAACAGTGTTTTATTGGTAAAGATCTGAGCATTTGGGACCAGGACAGTCTCCATGCTTGGCTAGATCCAGGGATTAGAGGCTCATACAGAGATCAGTCTTTAGGCTTCTTTGTCCTATGCTGACTTTATCTTTTGGTCAGCCCCTCCCTAGCGACACATTATTCTTATGTCCAGTAATTCCAGTGTATGTGAGTTTTCTATTACTAGTATGTTATAACAAACTACCAAGAGCTAAGTGGTTTCAGACACCCACTTATTAGCACATAGTTATGCAAATCATAAGTCTAGGGTCTTTGCTCAGGGTCTCGAGGAACAGAAGTCAAGGCATTGGCCCGGCTGGAGGAGGGTCCACTTGCAAGCTACCTCGGGTGTTGCTCGTTTAGTTTCTTCTTGACATAGGCCTGTTGTCCCCGCTCATCTGCTGGTGTAGCTCTCGGCCCTGGGGTCTGCCGCACTGCTGCTCTGTGACTCATGACTCGCTCAGTCTTTCTTTTTTGTCTCATTTCAAAGTAAAACAAGTTTTACTTTTTAAAACACTTCCATTTTCTAAGAACACAATTCCAGTCTTTAAAACTATATGCCACCATTTAATTTAGACATAAGAAAATGTCTAATAGTCAAAATGGTTTCTATTTGTAACATGTATATGAAAAATTTCAAAGACAGCATTTAATTTCTTTGAGAAGCACTTAATATGTAATATTTTATACATTCAATAAATATCTATTTGTTTAAACAATATTCTTAGGATGATATATTGTTAGGACTTAGAACTCATTTGGTAAAATATGAGCATGTTTTATTTTAAAAGATTACCAAGTCATATAAATAAATAATACAAAAATTAGTTTCAAGCACTGAAATATGATGCCTACAAACCATATTTTACTAAAAAACACACAATATATAGGGTAAAAATCTTATTAAAGAATATTTAAAAAATCTTTTCGTGGATCTTCTTTTAACAAATACTTAACCATAACTGCTGTCTTTCATAGAATTTTACTGCTAGAAATGCCGTACCAATTATGTGACTTAATATCAAGGATCAACTATCAATTTTTTTTATTTTTTTATTTTTATTTTTTTAATAATAAAAAAATATATTTTAAAAAAGAAAAGGACTCCAGAGAATTTTTCCAACACATGAGGGCACAGTGAGTAGATGACCACTGTGAACAGAGAAACAGCTCCCACCAGACATGGTGTCTGCTGGTACCTTAATCTTAGACTTCTTCCAAATGTGAAAAATTAATTTCTCTTGTTTGAGGCCCAAATGTCAGTGATGACAAATGACAATTCCACGATGTCACCTTCAGCAGCCTGAGGTGTTCCTTAATCTTCCAGGGACCTCAACTCAAGCTAAACTAGGATTCAGGACTTCAATGCAGAAAAGAATTTCAGGACTAGCCAATAGGAAGCGGAGTTGGAGGATTTTTACTAAAGATCTTTCAATACAGTCTCTAAGCAGGAGGGTTAGGAGGAAGAGAGGCATTCAGAAAGAGAAGTTCACCATCTCATTATCACACTAGGTATTCCATCCATCCCTTTAG